TAAGTCCCATGCAACAAAATTGTAGGATGTTTTTGTCCAGAAATCCACCATCAAAGAAGCCATTGTCTCTGAGGTCTGTGAAGAGGGATAACCAGAACTCCATGCACTGGCTGCGAAGAAACCGCCACCAATATTCAATTCTTTGATTGGCGGTGCTGGCTCCATCCAAGTAACTGTCAAGAGTGTTGCCTGGCGGTATTGGCACCAGGAAACGCTGGAAGCCTTTAACGTGACCATTTTCAGTCCCAAGATCAGCTCGAACGATTCGAGGACAACCCCCCAAACTGTGCACAACTTCGATGTAGTAACCTCCAATCAACTTCGGGTCACTACTTGTTGTGTAGGCATTGAGCCACATTATTTTCCTTGAAAAACCATCAATTGCCCCATTGATACAAATTCCAAATGGTTTCAGTTTGTCATAGGAGTCCATGTGCCATATAAAATTTGGCCCTTTGGAGAAGTAGTTTCGTCGTCTCAGACGTCTTGCTTGCCTTAACGACACTCCTCTCGGATCCAACTCTTTCAGGACCAGACGAACGTCCTCTTTCCTGACAAGTAGTCCATATTCTCTGCACTTACTGTACATCCACCTGTAACCGTGTAGTTGTCCGGAATGCTGCAATTGGTTGCGAATGAAGTCAACCAGGACTCCCAAGTCATTGAACGTTTTCCGACGAAATAGTCCTCTTTGGTTCAGCACTCGCTTCAAATGTCTTTCGCTTATTTGGAAACCGTATTTAACATCAAGAACAGATTTAATGTCTTAGCTATGGCAACTGCTAATGTGTTATACAGTAAATGCGTTACCTGGTTACGGGCTGTAAGATAATTTGCCGTCAACATGATAAGCGCCAATGTGCTAGCATTAACCTCAAGGTGGCTGCATTGTCACTATGCTAGTGTCACAAAAAAATGCTAAATCCTGATGTGAAAAACATGTCGGAAAAAAGTAAGTACTTCATCATGTTGATGGGATGACATGCTAACAGACTAACTGGTCATTTGTTGTAAATAGTGATGTGTTGTAAATGCGCTAGCTGCTAATTTACTGTGAAGATTCTAATTGCCACTGTGTCCAAGTGCTAACATTTGGTCTCATTGTACCATTTTAGCATCGGATAACGTCTCGGTGGCCTCGAGGGGGTGCTCCAGACTGGGTCGCCCGATGTAGACGTCCTGGGTGTGGCTGTACTGAGACAACAGCCTCAAGAGGGCACCCATGTTCAGGTAGTTGTCGTCGTCCACGTGACAAAACCACCTACAACCACACAGGCTGCCAATTAGCATTAACATCATCAGCGTAATTATGACAAGTTAATCGTTTTTGAGAGATGGTCAGTGCTTAGAATATTTTGGACACATCAGTATACACCACGTTTTATACAATACAAAATACAACAGGTTCACTTCTCCCGTCCCATGGAAATCCATGTTGATGATTCATTCATTAAGTAAACGTATTTTGTGGAACAAAATACATGATCACAATCAGCCATTTTAAAAATTTGCATTCGGCTACAAGTCTTTGAGGTTAAAAGTGGCGCAATCCATATGGAACAAATCCGACTGCCCGCATTTCTGCAACGCAGCAATGGCATTGCTGATGTTTGTACGACAGCTGGCACTTTTCATGCAGTTTAGCGGTCGTCATCATTTCGACGCATTAGGATTCAGCGTACTTCTGGCACTTTAGCAATTCGCGTCGTCACGTTAACGCTCATATATTTATAACGCTTGTAGCGTATCGAACATATTCGCATTTAGCCTAGTACTTGCGACGTTGTCAGTACGCAGCATATTTGCAACACTCGTGACGCATTAGCAGTTGTCTCAGAGCTACGGTGTCTCAGAGAGAACACACTTGGCAAGCCTACCACCAATTTCAAACACTGAGCGCGACCATATTTCCGACACACCATCCGTTAGCATCGTTTCTAGGGCACCGGCTTGACAGTCTTCGCCTCCGCGACACGGCGCGTAACTTACTTCCTGTCGGCGTCGAGGAAGGCGTCGTACTCGGCGGCCATTTTGCAGGAAAGCGCTTGACGGCTGTGAGCTGCCGAGCAGTTGGTGTTGATCAGGTGAGCACCTCGTGAGCACAACAACATAACGGTATCTTAATACTTGTTCATTTGTGGAACTGCGCTTCACTTCAATTCAAAGTATACATTGGAGTCGCTTATCACGCTGTTGTCAAGCTGGCTGGCCAAGAGTCGTCAGGCCAACGTGAGTTGTTCCTTTGCTAACATGGTATTACTATCATTGTCAACATTTTATTTATCTCCTATATTATCGTCAAGCGTTCATGGCTCTAATGCTACCACATCCAAAGGTAGCTTCCAACATCATCTCCAACTTTAGCTCCGATTGTTAATTTCTGAAAGTAGCTAACCGCTTTCGAGCAAAAAATGTAGGATTCCAAAATTGGCGTCAAAGTTTGGTTCTGCAGTGCGCTTGCATTGTTTCCGCTAGCATTAGAGCTAAGGAAGACCAGCGTTAGCTCTTGCCATTAGCTCTGGCGGTGACCTAAGCATTAGATTCCAGCATGTGTGGCCTCCAACGTGAGCTTCCAATTTGAGGGCACTTCCAAAATTCACTCTGACGCCTGTGCCCTACTCTGAGAGCGGGTGGGTTCGGAGAGGCGGAGTGTACTCCCCTCCCATTCATTTCTGAACGCAGCCAGCATCGGCGCACCGTGTCCCCCGACGCGCCAGCACTCTGTTTTTGGTGCACTCTGAATAGTCCAACAGCAAATCTGAGCAACGCTTGTGAGTTTGCGCACGGTTGGGGAGAACCAATGCGTGCTCGGTGTGTATTTCCACATGTGCCCATTGATTCACAAGTTAGCTTCCATTGGTACTTCTAGCATTAGCTTTGCATGTTAACCGCTGCCAACGTTAGCTTCTGACGCTAGCTCAAATATTAAGTACCAATGTTAGCCTCCAAAAATTAGGTTCTTTGGTAGCGTCCAACATTTCTTCTTGTGTTAGCTCCCAATGTTTGATATTGAAGTTAGTTTCCAACGTTTGCTCTGATGCTAGCTGTGCTTCCTCTAACGTTAACGTTCCATGATACCAATGTTAGCTTCTAGTGTTGGCTTCTGAAGTTGGTTTCCAACGATACCTGTCATGTTAACTATTCTAGACCAAGGTTTTTTTAATTTATGATTTTTTTTTTAAGATGTCACGTCTGGGGATCCATAATTGACTGCACTGCCTTCACACTGTATGCGTTTGGAAAAAGCTGCTTTGAGGGGGATCGAATCCCGGCCGGGGCCTTTGTGTGTCACAGGCCACACAACCGCGAACTCCCATATGACGTTCACTTCCTGTCTGCTGCTCGCCGTGGAAACGCAAAGTCAGCAGACGTCTGATTTCCTGATGCGATCGGCGTGCCCGTGTGTGAAACTCACCGATCCGCTTCCTGAGCGCTGAGTCCTCGCCATCGGTGAACACGTATGTCTGCGCGCACACACAAAAATCAAGTCACTCCCCGTTTGACTTCATGTCTCGCCACAGCATGGTGTCTGCTCTCGTGTGTGTGTGTGTGTGTGTGTGTGTGTGTGTGTGTGTCTGTCAGCTTGTATGATTTTGATTCGCATGAATGTTTTCATGCACTCGTGTTTGCTAATTTTTGTATTTGTGTTAATGCAAATGTGTGTGTCTGTGTGTGTGGTTTATAATTGTGTGTTTATATATATATATGTGCTTGCTGATGTTTGTTTATGTGAAGGCATGTTTTGTTTTTTGCGTGGGGTTTTTTTGTTCAGTGTTGGAGGAGCGTGTTCTTGCATGTTTTTGTGCAAGTCTGTTTGTGTCGTGTGTTCGTGTTTTCTGTGTGTCTTTTTATGCTTGTGTGCGTTTGTTGTGTGACTTTAAATTAGTGGTTTTTGTGTTTTCTGGACGCAGGCAACTGTTTTGCACGGTTGCGGTTGCGTGTGTATGTCTTTGTGGGGTTTTTTTTTCGTTTTTGTTTATGTGACAGCTTATGGGTTTGAGGGGGGCGGGGGTTCAGTGTGGCTGCAGGAAGCCAAGCAGACCTTTCTGATTTTCCACAGGAAGTCGACCAAACCTCCACTCTTGGCCTCAGAGCTTGTTTTGTGTGTGTGTGTGTGTGTGTGTGTGTGTGTTTAAATATACATTCCTCAAGTAATGTGATGTTCTTGTGGAGCAGCAGTCTTATGACAAGTGTTTAAAAAAATAAATAAATAAAACTACCACAGCCAAGGCTGAAAGCATCACAAGACGCCAATTAATCCCAAAATGGCCAGAGTGCGCCCTGAAGGAACACCTGCACTGCGTATTTCCAGCGCTTCAATTTGTCACGCAATTGTTGCGTGACAAATAAAATGAGCCTGCTGACTTTTAGAAATGAGATCAAGACACTTCACGGGAGTCTTTTAAAATCTCCTTGAAGGAAAATATGACATAAGCTAAAACTTTTATCCATTTATTTGATTTTTTTTTTTTTTTATAAAGTGGATGTACATAAAGTCGACGTTGTATGCAAAAGTGCGTGTGCGCGGGTGTGTGTGTTGCCAGTGCTGTCAAGTATGAAAGTAAACAAACAAGTTGGCAAAATCTTATTTCTGAAAGTGAGTCTGTGAGCAGTCTTCCTGAAATTTTGCAAATTGTGAAAACACAGTTTGGCTAATTTGCATACCCAACGCAGACTTTCTCCACCAATGACATGATCAACTAAGACCACTGAAGTTTCAGCGCAACAGAGACACTTTGACCAGAAGGTGGATCCTGTCGATGGCAAAAAGGTAAGCTGAGCTGCAGCGTTGGCGCGGATTAGCATCCGCAGCATTCACTTCTGCCAATTCTCCAGTGATGTTTTGAGATTAAAATTGAATTTGTTATATGGCCACCCACGTAACTCAAATCATCTTTCCCCATCCGAATGAACGGATATGCCACCAAGCTATTGCGGCTTCCAGCATTAAAAAATTTGTCATGTATTTTTAAGAGTACAGCACTTGACAATACTTAACGTCATAACCATCAAGTAATGACATTTATAAAGGATGTAACTGTTTTTGCCCGTTTGTTTTAGTCTATTAACATTTGCTCGACCTTCTGTAGTGTGCGCCATGGCCACCCGGGGGAAGTTTAAACACACCCGAAGAAAAATTCCACGACTCGGTCAGCTCGAGTCATGGGAGCCATTTTTTGCAGAGGATAACGTATATATGCCTGCAGGTCTTGCTATATTGTCAGTCCACGTGTTGGTCTGCCCTTGTCGTTCAAATATCTGTTAGCAGCAGTAGTAGTATTTAGTAGTGTGTGTGCGTGTGTGCGTGTATGTGAATATACATACATTACGTCATTGCTTCCTTTTATCGTATTATTTCCAAAGATTCGTCGGATTGACTTGTTTCCGCATAACATCGCTTCATGATCAAACCAGAGCTGGCCAAGACCTTTCTCGGCTCATTGCCATTAAAAAAACAAAACAAAAAAAAACATCGTTGACGACAATTTCCGTCGCTGGCACTCCTTGTTAGGATTCTCGTCGATGACATTTCACGTCGACGGCGAGAGTTAAGGGCAATCGCTTTAAGTTGTATGGGTTATTTTTTACATTTTTTTTGTTTGTGCGTGCGTGTGTGATTAGCCATGTTTGGCCCTTCCCATGAGCAATCAGCTGAAGTTCCCAGGGCGTGTGCGCGTGTTGCCACATTATTTCCACAACTCAGCATTCTTCAAGCATGTCGGCGTGCCTGGGAAACAGGTAATGCTCGAGCGTGAGAACTCCTCACACACTCTCGCGTGTGCAGTCAGCTGATTGTACGCAAATAAGCACATGCATGCTAATTACCCCCCCCCAAAAAAAAGATATTTAGTGAGATGAGAATCAATTAAATGCAATCAGGTCAACTTTTTGGGCCTGGCCAACCCAACTCACTGCTTTGCAGCTGTTTTTCGACAGCACATCAAGGGTGAGGAGGATCTGGGCACTTTTTGTCAAATTGCAGCAACCTCGCCGTTGACGTCATGATACAGAAGAGTTTGGTTTTTCTTTTGCTGAGCTCTTCATGAATGCGAAGCAGTTCCTTTTCAGTCGCTCGGCGTTTGGCAGCTTTTCACAGCCACTCGTCACCTCCTGTGCACTCGGTGACGCATCACAAAAAGGGCCCGAGACCACCCTGTGGGTTTGCGACGCCACTCGCTTCAAAGCCACTTTGCTTCGCCTCCGGCTGACTTCACGACGCGGGAAATCCCGCCGTGCGATCCGGGCGGCCTCATCAATATCGTTCGACTTAGCGGAGTTGATTTTTGCCCCAGCCGGCCGGCCGGCCGACTCTGGAATGTCACTCAAGAAGAAGCGTTGCAAGATCAGCTGCAGGCGTGGTGCCCGATGGAACCTTTTCATCCCGTCGAAGAAGGAAAGCGCGACAAGTTCCTAGAAATGTGACTTGATCCTTCACTCGAAACCAAGAATTGGACCCATTGAGCCTTTGAACGCTTGGCTTCAAGGTCCGGGGCACAGTCACGCGGTCGGGCGCAGCGATTGCCAACCTTTATTGAGCCAAGGCGCATTTTTATGTATTTGTTTAATTCGAAAGATCGCACGGCACACCGCCGCACAAAAATCGTCACCAAAAGAGTACAGTGATCCCTTGCTATTTTGCGGTTTGTTTATCGCCGTTTCTGTGCATCGCGGATTTTTTCAAACATATTCATCATTTCTGTGCATCGCGGATTTTTTCAAACATATTCATAAAAAGAAAAAAAATGGATTTTTTTTTAAGTCCGCAAACAGTCCACGAGAAGCAGCGAAAGTCAGCAAAACTACAGCGAGTCACATCGAGCAACATATACAGTCCTACATGTATATGTTTGCTGTATTTTGTTATTCATACACTAACCTAACTTATTCATGTTTAAATCTATTAGGATACAGCATTAAGTCATGTTCATTACTACTAAATTTATTTCTACACGCATGGATACCATTAAATTTGGCCTCATAAATATTTTGTATACTCATACACATGTTCATGTACCTATATGGGGGAGGGGTCGCTACTTCGCAGATTTTCATTTATTGCGGGTGGTTTCAGTCCCCATTAACCGCGATAAACGAGGGATCACTGTATGTCAATGTCATGCTTTTTGCTGTCGAATAGGAGATCTATTTGCGCCTGCTCCCACTCCAAGTTTCTGGACAAAGATGCATTGCTTGCCATGACCACATCGTTTCCTCACCAATGATGTGAAATTTGATCAGTTATCGCGGCACGCCGTCGTCTCCTCGACCGGGGGGAGACGTCTGTCTCTCCGCAGTTGTGGACAGATGCGTGTCTGCGAGGCCCGCTCGAGACTTGACCAGGTCCCTACAAGGTCTCCCAAGACGTTTCTAAAGTGTCGCAATTGACTGCAACACCCCGCGGAAGATGTTGGAGGGACGTCTCGGCGATCGGCGGTCGAAGTTGCCCCCGGGGGTCGAGAAAGCTGAGTGGAGGCATGACAAGTGGTGGAGTAGCCAATCGGAACTCCCCGTTTATGGATATGGTGAGCTTCAAAACTAAAATGAACCGTTTGAGTGTTTGGGGTGGGTGTGGGGTCCGGGGCGGGGGGCGCACGCACGCATCAGGTTTTGAATTCATTAAGAGCATTTGAGACCTAGCTAGGCACCCCTCCGAGTTGCAAACGGCTCGCTTTTTGTGAAATCGACTCATTGAAGAACGGTCGGGTGAGAATGAGTTCGGAGGAAACTCACGTGTTGCAAATCGTTGGCGATCCACGTGTCCAAAAGGAGCTCCAGTCTGCCGCGGTGGTATTTGCTGGTGGTCTTCACGGACACGAACACGTCGTCGGCGGTCAGGAGCTCCGCGGGCTTAGGCGGGGCGCCGCTCGGCGCCGGCCGCCCGACGGCTCTCCTTTCTCGGCTCAGCTGCCTGAAGTAGTCCGTGAAAACGGCGCGGCTCGCCGGAGCTCCCTCCTCCGCCGCCCGCTGCGCGCCCGCGACGGCGAGCGCGCGGGCCGCGAGCAGGCAGAGGACGGCGACGCGGAGGAGCTGAGGCCGCCGCCCCGCGGACCTCCACATGGTGCGTGCGTCGAGGTGGGCGCCGCTTGTTTCATCAGGGTCGGAACCGAACCGCGGGACGCGACGGCTGCAGTCGTTTGCCTCGCCGGCTGCATCGACGAAGTCTCAGCTGGCTGCGTGCGAGGAAGCTCCGCCGATGGGCGGAGCCTGAATTGCTCAACCGACCAATGGGAGAAATGAGCGCCTTTTTGGGCGAGGCCAAAAAAAAAACAAAAAACAGTACAGACCAAAAGATAAACCGTGTGCGTGTGTGTGTGTCTATATATCCATCTATATTACCTACGTGAGTATGTCTTTACATGTATATGTATTTATATTATGTATATTGATTTACCTGATGGGAATTTTGGGGAGAAAAGCCCACATATTGACCTTCACCAGGAAGCATTTCACATGCGGGACTTCAAAGACGCTTGGCCAAGAAAGAGTTCATGTTTGCAAAACTTGACAGTCCCCTCCCAAATTTGCCGTTTGTGTGTTGTTGGGGGTCCCCCACTTTTTGCTCCCGTCGGCGTGTGGCAGGATTCCCGGTGCAAGGTCACTGTTTTCCGAGCCTCGCTTTGGGATTTTCTCTCACCCCCCTCCCGTCCAGGCTCCACCGTCCCTCCTTCTGTTTGCTCGCAGAAACAGTCCAAAGTCCTGAATTCAACTTCTCAGAAGTAAGACAAACAAACAAAGGAGGCTTTCTTACAGCTTCGAGCTTCTTCTCGGAAGTAAGACAAACAAACAAAGGAGGCTTTCTTACACGTTTGGACACATTGTGTGCGCGCGTGTGTGTGTGTGTGTGTGTGGTTTGTGGTCGGTGTGGCGTCAGTGGTGCTGTCAGGGGGTTCAAGTACCACAATGTGTGTCTTATTTAAAAAAAAAAAAATCACTTCAAACAGCACGAGGACACAATGGATCTGTTATGTGTTTGTCCTTGCCAACGAGCACACAAAAGTCACACGGACGCTTGACAAAATGTTGGCAAGACCGTGATGCGAAAAACTCGAGTCTTTGTATAATTCCAGCAGCATTCCAAAGACTTCTGCTGAATGAGTTGCTTGAGGTGGTCCAGTTTCCACGGAGTCCATCTTTTCCATCGGAAAATTCGCTGACAACTTTCGCTTCGCTGCAGGTTTTGCAGAGCGGACCTTTCTCCGTCAAAAAAGAAAAGATCCCACCCAGATTCACCGCTTATTCATTTGTTGATTAATGCGCACTGTCCCAATGAAATAAGAAAAAAAAACAACAATTGCACATACGCCGATAGCCATTCCAACCAAAAGAACCGCAGTTTATTTTTATTTTGGTTTAGGGAGTCGACGTCTGGCAGTCACTGCCCGCTCGTTTTGCCTTCATCAGGGGTTAGCATGAGCGTCACTTCTCTCCGCCGCACTGTTTTTCTTATGGAGCGTGTCTGAGCACAGCACATGGGCGAGTATTTTCAATGCCGTGATTGGCTGCATAGGGTCGTTGCATCGCGTCATACGATTGGCCGGACACCTGTCACTCACTGAATGCCACTGCAAAATGATACGTGAAAAAAAGTACAAGCATGGTCACTGAACGAGTGAAACTGGCGTCACTGTACAGCATGTCCGTAAATGCCATGTCTCTTAACAGAGATGCACTCAGCGGGGAGGTGGCAGCCAAATGGGCGGGGCACTGCCGTTCTCCGCGGTGGGCGGAAAGATGAGCGGGGGGCATCAATTTCTCTGATGACCTCGGCAGGCAGGTGCTTTGGGAAGACGGGTCACTCTTACAAAAGAGATTGTCAATCTCAATGAGTTTTTGACGTGGTTCAATAAAGGTCAACAAGTTTTTCGATGAAACCAAAAAATATATCTATCTATCAAGAATCATGTTTACATTCATGCCAAGGGGGACTTTTTCCGAATATAAATACTTATTTTCACATGATCTGTAAAAATCTCTCTCTCTCTTCCTCGACAGATAGATATTTCTATGCCAGCTAAATCAGTGAAAAGGCGAAATAAGATTGAGATTTTGTTCAAGCCACGTCGTTCAGCCCCATGTCGATGACGTTTGTCGAATGTACTTGTGACTTCCAGGTGTGTGATGATGGTGGGAATGCCTCGGAATGGCTTTTGGAATTGGGATTGGAATGTAAGGTAAAATATCCTTTATTTGTCCCACACTGGGAAAATTTACAGCCCACAGCAGCAAAATTGGGGGTAGAAAGAAGAAAAAAGATGTGAATATTAACGGAATGTGTTGAGCATTTTCAAGCTGACAGGATTCAAAGTTTTATCGACTCATTGTCTGATGACCAGGATGTCCTCGGAACGGCTCTCCCGCTGACTTTTTTTTTTCATAAATATGTGTTTCGTGCGCTGAGGCGTTTCGAGGCCATGAATAGTTTTGGCCGCGAGAGACCGTGGTTGGCCAAAAAAAAAAACAAAACAGAAGTGGCCTCATCACAACACGTCCTGTACTAAACTCTTGCAACGGCAATTCAAAGAACTCCTTCATGTCTCCATCCAGCCGTCATTGTTGCTCTTTGTCTCGCTGCTTCTCTCTCTTCAAGTGCCGCGCTCGATTCTTCAGGACGTTGCTGTGCTGAGTTGGCCCAATTTTCAACCCGTCAACATGACGGACGGCCTTCAAATTTTCTCGTCCACTCTGAAAAAAATCCGTCAATGGTGGGAAATTGTCGGTTCATGTACCCTCTGCAGAAATAATAGAAATGGCGTAAATGTTTATCCAGTCTTGTGAACTTTGATTTCGTTACTAAAGACGGGCTTTCATTTGTGATCAGAAATCAGCCCTCCTCTTCTTCCCAAATAAAATGTGACATTTGGGGTTTGCTTCGGGCTCGGGACTGCAAATCAAGTTCATTGGTCGGGTCGGGCTGGATTTTTTTAGGCCCGATTTGACCTCGACTGCACGTTGAACTCTTTGTACTTGTATGCACGTGAAAAGAAAACGTTTCAAAATGATGCCCCAGGGTTTGTTGGGAGACAAATGAAAGGGTGCACACTGACATTTTGTCACGCAAATGGCCCCTTGTGTTCGTGCACTTCATACAAATTTTTTATGTACGTGCACCGATGTGAAGAAAACAAAAGTAAGAAGACACCCTGGGGAAATGTATAGACTGTAGATATAACATCTCGCTTACACTGTGCATCACAAAGTCGGCTCGGGCAAAAGAGTTGATGTAAAATTGGAGCCCAAACGCATCACTCGTCATGTTATGAACGTAAAATTGAAATCAAAGATGACAAAGCAAAGCCGACATCCTGTTTTCGCCCTTGGTGACGTGTGACCCAAAGGTGACGAACCGGTGTGGCATGACAAGTCCACTCCAAGACGTCCTGATTCAGATCGCGCTTTCCTTTCACAACAGCTGCGGCTGTCACAAAACCGTGAACGTCAAGTCCAATCCTAACACAACGCAGAACGTCGGGCAATCTTTCCCCCTCGTAGGCTTGCTTGCTTGAAGCGGTTGAACATGAAAGCGCGTCCTTTCACCTGCGGATGGCCGACGTCATGCTCAAAATGTGCACGCGTCGGCTCCAAGCGACGTTTCAAAGTCAACAAGAAGCTGACGCGTCCATTGACGAAAAAAAATGACGCTGGTTCACTTCTCCTGTCCCGTGTAAATCCGTGCAGGAGGAGTAGCTCAGTCTTAAGTGCTTACGTCTCATCTGCGCTCCGTGCCGACGCTCCTCTCTCCTCAAATTGTCTGACTAACCTTTATTTTTTACTAGAATTGTACTTGAACAGTATTTATACTTTACATATTTGAGACAAAGTCTGTAGCAGCACACATATTTACTTCAATCTTTAATGATAAAAGCTTTTACAGTAATTAACATTCATCAGCACTGTCTCGATGCAGCTGTGACAGCGTAGCATCCATGAGCCTCCAGCGAGCTGCTGGCCAGCGATCCCGCAGCGTGCAGCCAATGTGTTTATGAGACAATTAAGGAGGTGCTGAGCTGGCTGTCCTGGCTCGAGTGGATCAGCATCTTCAAATATGGACTCAATGTAAGGGCCCAACTCACTCGAGGCCGTTTGAGGAAAAATGACAAATAATCCACGAAAATCAAAAACTGTCACGTTGCGAGGTGGTGGTGGACCCCAAAAAGCAGGCAGGAGGGAGGGAGGAGCAGGGTGTACTTGAAGCGTATTGATAAAACACAGAAAACTAAAGCCACAACAGGGTCCAAAAAACAAAGAATCCAAAGTATCAAACAAAACCCAGGCTGTAGCTGAAACTAACAGTCAACAAAACATGATCGAGAACATGACAGCAGCAAACAAACGAAGAATGAGCGGTCGGGTGGGAGTTCTTTTATAGCCATAATTGCCTAACGACCAACAGGTATGCAGCTGCAGGGAAAAGCCCCACAGTGCCACCTGTTGGTCACAAACCGAAACATGACAAAAACTTGGTCGTGGACGGTGACGTGCAGGCACGCAATTTACATGTCAAATTGTGAACCCCTGTTCATCGCGGGGGGAACAATGTTGCCAACCGTGCCATCAAAATCCAATTTGTTCGACTGTTTTATGCATAACATGACTGCAAGGTGCAAATGAGCCCGTGACATCGTTGAACGTTGACCATGCGGTTTTCTTCCCCCCCCCACCAGGCTGCGTTCATCAACGAGATGGCGGGACAGTTGTTCGACACCAACACCACCACGTGAGGAGAGCCGCCATTTAAAATCATTCGACAGCCGCTATTGCTATTGAAAAATATAGTCATGCATTTTAAGTTGAAACGAGATTTATAAAGAAAGGAATTTGTAAAGCATTTACACATGTGCATATAAAATCGAAATGTAATCCCTGCCCACACCTTACAAACGAAGGAGAGCGCTATTAAATGTGTCAAGAAGAAAGCATTCGCATCTCCTTGATAGCTAGCGTCTGCTGTGTTGGGTCTGTCTCAGTGACATATTGAGACCGCTGTTGTCTTCTACCCCCATCAAAACTGTGTCCCCTAGCGGATACTCCATGAATTTATTGAAAATATTCATTCCGTGTCTTTTCTGCATTTTTTTCACTTTTGAATGATCCCGCGGGCCTGATCGAACCTCCTTGGGGGCCGGTTGCGTCCCGCGGGCCCTAGGTTTGACACCCCCGGTGTAAATGCTGAGCAGATGAAAGCATTCCTCCATGTTGTTTTTGAATGAACGGCCATCGTGATTTAACCCAGCAGCCTGCACGCGTTTTAACGGTTGACGGCAAGGCGGATAATCCGCCACTTCAAGTGCACTCGGTCCGGCCACGAGGGAGGAGAGTGCGCAGTAATCCGCCGTTTTAAGACCTGATCAAGCTTCTTATCGTGACAGAAGTCACATTAGCTGCCGTAACGGAGGACGCTTTATCCACTCGTTCAGACCATCCAAATGCAATTTTGGTTAGCATCCAAAATGCCCTCCAAAAAACGCATCGTTTCAGATCATCATAAAGTAGTTCTGCTCTACAAATAAAGATGTAGTGTGTGAAACGTGCTCAGCGACAAAAATGTTTTAAGGCGGATAATCCGCCACTTCCTTTGCTTTAAATCTCCTCCCGTTTGAAGCGCTAATAAATCGAAGTCGTCAATATTTCTTTTCATGTTGTTCAAAGCTATACATAGCAAAGAATTGATTTTTCATTCTTTGTTTTAAGATGAAACATTAACATAGCATATGATATCCTATAGCGGAAATGCATTGTCAAATCTTGGGAAGCCTGATTTGAAATGACAAAACTTGAATCCGTGTACATGGCGGGTTCAAGCCATGAGTACCGTTTTCAAGTCGGGTTACAAGACAGCCTTCAAGTTTCAAATGAGGGCGAGAGTTTCAAGATAGGGTTAAGCTTTCAAAGGAGGGTTTCAACTTCCAAGCCAATGCTGCGGTTCAAAGGTTGGGTTGGAGCCTGGGTTAGGGTTTTGAAGTAGGGTTTCTTACTACCGGAGACAAATTCCTTGTGTGTTCTTCATACTTGGGCAATAAAGTTGATTCTGATGTCTTCAAAAAAAAAAAAAAAGGACTTCAAGCCAAGATTGTGCTTTCAAGTGAGGGTGTCAAATCAATCGTGTCAAGGTGCGGTTAGGGTTTTAAATTACAGTTCCAGTCCAGGGATAGCGTTCAAATTCAGGTTTGAAACCTGGGTTCGGGTTTCCAATTACAGTTTCAGGCCAGCATTAGGATTTGGTTTTCAAATTAGAGTTTCGATTTGGTGTTTCAATCCCAGGTTACGGTTTCAAAGTAGGGATGGAAGTTTTGATGAGCCAGGGTAAGGTTTTTAGTAGTGCTGTCAGTTTAACGCATTATGATCGGCATTAATTTAAAAGAATTTTAAATCGATTTTTTTTTTTTTTAATCACAAAATTAATGCGGCACCACGTCACGGATGTTACGTTGCTTTAAAATAATAAAATGTGCTCCAAGTTTGAATAACTGCTCCAAGTGAAAAACGTTAATGTAAAATTGAAAGTCGAAATTGTTCTTTCAGTCAATATTTGCACAAAGAAAGCGGATCCACGATTCCATGTTGATGAAATGGGAAAAAATAGGAGGAAAAAGAAATCAAAGGGAATTTAGAACAGATAAAAATCTGATGAATTACGGCTAATTCTGAGTTAGCTGAAATGATACATTTGATTGCGCTGAAATAAATGAATCGTTTGACAGCACTAGTTTTTAGCTTTTGACTTTGTTTTGTTTTGAAAGCAGCCGGAACATGTCCTTAGTCCCCCCCCCCATTGAACAGCAATCTTCCTCTCAGTTGCTCCTCTTGCTGCCGGAAGTGGGGTTCAGAAGCTCTTGACCCCGGCGCTCTTCCGGGTTCCCACGGTGATGGGCGTGTTCTCCAGCCCCCGCAGCCACTCGGTGCACTTGAGCACCACGCGCTGGTCCACCCCGCCGCCCCGCTCCTCCTCGTCCTCGTACTCCTCGTCGTCGTAGCGGTGACGCTCGTTCAGCAGGGACACCTTCACCATAGAGCTCACGTCGCAGCGAGTCCTGACCAATGCCGCCGCCCGGTCGTGGGGCCGCGGGGACGGGGAGGCGCCCAGGCGGGGGCTCCTCCTGAATCGCCTGGAGTCCGGGACACTTCCGGAAAGGTGGTGGTGGTTATGGTTGTTGTTGTTGTTGCGCCTCTGCAGCAGCAGGACCGCCTCGGGGGTTAGGGTCAGCGTGAATCGGGTTTCCTCCGGGCGGGATTTGATCCGGGGTCTCACCTGGTGGGCGGGTGTGAGGATTGCGGTCAGTACGGTTTCAAGACAGCGTCAAGTTTTCAGATCAGGCTGAACGGTTCAAATTGGACTTTTCACTGTCGGGTTTTAAGGTGACTAAGACCCCAGTCTCAAGACAAGATTGGTTTCAAAGTGAAGTTACAAGACAAGGTTAGGGTTTCAAACAAGTACAGTATTTCCAGCTGGGAGTCAAGCCAGGGTTTGAGGTAAGGATTTCAATCCAGGGGTAAGGTTTCAAAGTTGGGTTTCTAGTTCCAAAGCAATCGTTAGGGTTTCAAACAGGGATTAAGGTTTCAAGTGAGAATTAAGAGTTTCATATTCAAATTTAGGGGTCAACCTTGGGTTTCAAGTCAGAATTGGGGTGACGCAGTTGCAATTTTCAGACTCCATTCGAATTTCCAAGTAGGTTTCTGACCTGGCAGGTCTTGGACAAGGACTCCCCAGACCTGGAGGCGGGGAGGCTCTCGGGCGTCCCCCCGCATGACGAGGGTCCCTTCTTCCTGGGCTCCGACAGCCCTCTGGTGGCCGTGGGCAGGTGGCTCTTCTTGCCCAGCTGCTTGAGGTTGGACGCCAGGCGCTCCTTCACCGAGTCGCCTTCTTTCGGGGGCGCCGCCTTGCCGCCCGGTCCGGCCGACGCCGCTGCCATCACCGACACGGGCGGGATGAAGGGCATCTTGGACACGCACAGAAACAAGTAGGCCAGGAGCTCGGTCTTCCGCCGGAACCTCGGGAAGGGCGTGGAGAAGAAGGAGGCCAGGTACCCGCCAGCATCTCGGGCCATGCGGCGGCGCTGCTGCTATCGACTGGCAGAGCACACTGGTGCGCGTTCGCCCCGCGCGGGGGTCACCTTGTAGCTCGCCGCGCTAATGACGCCCAGGCTCAGCCCGCTGGAAATAGACGTGAACTCGTAATCCGCCGCGGTCTGCGTGATCCACTGAGAGCCGCACGTTTGCAAACGCAAAAGCGCAGGTGGACGCGGCCAGGCTTAAAGTCCAGACACGTTTGGCGCTGTGGAGCGGTTCTACGTTTAGAATGGCGTTCCAAGCCTGGGTTAGGTTTTCAAAGTGAACTTTGAGCCCTGGGGCAGAGGTTCATACAAGGATGATGATTTTCAGTCCACGGTTTGGATTTCAAATGACTCAAGACAGAGTTTGTAACAAAAGAGCTTCAAATGAGGGTTTCTCGAGCCAGGATTAAGGGTTCCAAGCAGGGGTTAACAAATCTGATAGAGTTCCAATGTGGGATTTTAGGAGGCGCCCAGTGTTCCCAAGTAGGGTTTCAAATGAGTTTTCAATTTGTCCTTCAAACCAAGGATAGGGTTTTAAAATGGGGCTCAACGTAGGCTTTCAAGCAAAGGGTCGGGGTTCCAATATTTAAAAAGGACAAACAGAGGCCAGTAGACAAAGATTTATGACATGTTTTTCAGATTTTTCAAACGGGTCAGTTTGACCCGCAACATATGAGGGTTAAAATCCGTGTTCGGGTTCCAAAGTAAAATTTCAAGCAAATAGCGTTCCCCATAGAAACATTTATTGACATTATTATTTCAAAATCGGATAAAAAAAAAAAAAAGGCTGAACAGGATGACTTGATCAAAGGCCAAAACGACTGACATAACTTTAAAAGGACAAACTTTTCCCCCGTTTATAATTCGCCTTCACTGTTAGCAGCGCCTGCGATGCACGTGAAGAAGGCGATGACATCTTGGACAGCAGTGGTAAGCGTCTTTGAAATGATTCACCAAGAACGGAAGCAGACAGCAGCCCAAAACCAACCTGAAAAGTGACGTCATCGTCACACCCGCCCACCGTGCGCGTGGACGACGGAGGGACGACGGGGTTGGGGGGGGGGTCGAGGTCGCTCACCCGCACAGGACGAAGAGCACGCACATAGTCCCAGCGTACGTTCCGGCTCGGTAGCGCACCCTGGTGGTCACCTGGGCCCGACAGGCGGGACATGACGTCAGAGCAGGGGAGCGGCACAAGTAGCTCTCGTGGCTCACAAACTTCGGGACGGGGGTCGTCACCACGGGGGACGCGCGCGCTACAGGGGAAAGCAGGTAGACCACAAATGCAAACAAGGAGGATTTCCAACACAAAATGGCGAATATCCAACGAAGGATTGACGCCCTCTACAAATGCATTGGATTTCGTTATTTATTTTTTTCAACTTTTTTTCAACCTGCGCAACCTTAAATAAACAGTCGGAGTGAAAATTAAATGAAATGTAGAATTGAGCACGTTTCACACAGTAATATAAATGCAGAAATAAACATAGTAAGTCATCTCGAAAACCACTGTTTCTAAATTTCCCTCCATCACTTGGTTTCACCATACCTTCAATCCTTCCTCGTTTTCTTCTTTCCTCAATGCTTTATTTTGGACTCCCTCGGCCACCGTACACTCTTCAAAGTCACGTGCGGCACACTTCAGCCCCCACTTCCTTTATGACGTTATGATGCAATTCATATGGTGGCGCTGTTTCCCCGCCTGCCTGTCTGTGCACGCGCTCATTCACTTGACCGTTGCGGTCTGGGTACTCGCGTGATGTGGCTAAGCTAGCTGTCAGTCAGTCAGTCGGTCAGCCAGCCGCCGGATGTACCTGGACGCGCGTCGCTGTCGTCGTCCGTCTTGACATTCCCCTCAAACATTCCCGGACGAATTCGTGTCGACTGACCAGAGTCCGCGAATTCCCGTCCCACTCCCTGGTGGTCGTCGAGCCCCCCGCCCCCACCACTACACCGCTCGGGCTGCTTAACTTGCCGGCTAACGTGCGGACGAGGTGAGTTGGCACGCCGGGATAACTACATTGGAAACACCGTGGTCGGGATAAGACGGATGAGGCCTACCTAGCGAATTGAGCTAGCGACCCGAAATCACAGCGCGCGTGGGTACGTCAGATCTTCAATCCCTGATCAAATTACGCCGCCATATTAACCCTCCAAAACGAGGGCGTACTTATGATCTTTTGAATAAGAAGAGGATAGTCTTGAATATGATTTTAAGGCGTTCTTCGAGGGTTATTTGCAGCGGGCTTTCATGTTTTGAACGGTGCGGTTCGGCTATCGACGCTAACCGGCTAGCGTCGGTTTCAGTTGTAACTTGTACCACGTAATGGAACAATCATATAAATATACATTTTTCTGCTTTTGCCACATGTGACGTGCCGGTTATCAGCGGGAGGCAAAGTTCTCACCCTGCTGTTCACGTGAAAGTGAATGAAAAGGTGGTGGGTGCAATAAAATGATTGCACTGCCTGTGTGTATGTAACAGTGGAGAGCCCTGAACCGAAGAACCACACCCAGACAAGATGTCCCTTCACCAGTTTCTGCTGGAGCCCATCACCTGCCACGCGTGGAACCGCGACAGGACGCGTCAGTTTAGCCCCCCCCCTCCCCCTTTCGTCACTGTCATTCCAGCAACGGGTGGGAGGTAACAGGTTTGGCCGGTTACTTAGCTTTCTTCTTGTGCTGTCCCCCCCCCATGCAGAGATTGCCATCAGCCCCAACAACCATGAAGTTCATATTTATAAGAAGAGTGCCAACCAGTGGGTTAAGACTCACGAGCTGAAGGAGCACAATGGACACATTACAGGTAGTTTGCTCATCCCATGACTTTTAAGAAAGTTTACAGGAGACAAAGCAGTTCCATTCACCCATCTCGAATGCCCCACTTAGGACATGGCCCTTGAATGAGAACCGAACGATCTCATTTTCTTAGATTTTTCGTGCAAGAATTTTAGATTGGCTGTGGCATCATCCAGAGTAGCCAATTTAGGTCCAAAAACACTGAAGGCCCCACAAATGTCCAGGTCGCTTGTAATGTTTCCATTTTCATCTGTGTGAATGAACATTGACAACGGATTCAATAATTAATACGCAGCAAGCCGTCCAAACGGGCTTAGAGTACGAACACAGCGATGCAAATGTTCATCAAGTAATGCCTTCATGTTATATAAATTTGAGCTTGTAAGCTTGTTCAGCCACATTTGTACCAAGAGGGCTTTGCGATAAGGTCATTGACTCACCTTCACATGTCCCCCACGCTGCTTCCCCCTGCGTCGACATCCCCGCAGGCATCGACTGGGCCCCCAAGAGCGACCGCATCGTGACTTGCGGCGCCGACCGCAACGCGTACGTGTGGTCGCAGAAGGAGGGCGTGTGGAAGCCCACGCTCGTCATCCTCAGGATCAACAGAGCCGCCACCTTTGTGAAGTGGTCCCCGCTGGAGAACAAGTTTGCGGTGGGCAGCGGCGCGCGGCTCATCTCTGTCTGCTACTTTGAGTCGGAGAACGACTGGTGAGAAAGCCAAAAGTCTACAGTGGACCTTTATAAGATAAGATATCCTTTATTTGTCCCACACTGGGGAAATTTACAGTCTACAGCAGCAAGATAATGGGTAGAAAGAAGACAGTAGGATGGTGATCTTGAGGTGGATTGTCGGTCGACCTCCCTTTCTCTTTTTGTGAGGACATGCAGTCAATGGTTCATGGTGCATTTTTGACATTCTCAATGGTCAAAATAAAAATCTGTTACCAATTATGAATGAGATGCCCAAACACCCGAACAGGATTTCAAGGGGAACCAAATACAAACATTTTCTGAGCAAGAATACGTCGTATTTGACTTGACCAGTGTGTGAACTTGATGATCTGATTAAGATTGTGTTTGTGGAATAAGAGTGAAGCAGATGAATCCATCCGTTTTCACCCATCTCAGGGGGTGGCCTTTTTGGCCGATGCTGCTGTCGACTGAAATTGACTTCACAACTGCCCTCGGGCTCACCTTGGGAATGTCACATGACCAAATCTAGATCATCATTGTCGCAGTTTCTTGATTTTAAAAATGCAACACGCCGTCGTTTTTTTTTTTCTCTGTGAGGCCGAGTACATTTTTAATTATCGTGACAAAAGGGCACCAGTGAAACTTGGACGTAAGCAGTTTTGTGAACGACACAAACAAATTTTCCGAATTTCAGGTGGGTGAGCAAGCACATCAAGAAGCCCATCCGCTCCACCATCCTCAGTCTGGACTGGCACCCCAACAACGTGCTGCTGGCCGCCGGCTCCTGTGACTTCAAGTGCAGGTGACGCGTCATCAATAAATGAAACCAAGCGAGGGACTCGTGCTTGAAGAAATATCCTTTTTTTTTTTCTCCCTCCCATACACACAAGCGAGAAATACTAACACGACGGCATTGTTTGTGCGGTGTCCAGGGTATTCTCAGCCTACATTAAGGAGGTGGAGGAGAAGCCAGGCCCGACGCCTTGGGGCAGCAAGATGCCTTTCGGGGCTGTTCTAGCCGAATTCGGCGGAGCAGGTCCGCCCTCTCCCGTGTCATTTTACGCATGCTTGCAAAACAAACGCCGTTTGATCCGGCTGAGCTTGTTCCGCTCGTTTAGGAGGAGGAGGTTGGGTCCACTCTGTGTCCTTCTCGGCCTCCGGGAACCGCCTGGCGTGGGTCAGCCACGACAGCACGGTCACTGTGGTGGACAGCTCCAAGACCGCCTGGTATGTTGTTTGTCGTCATGAGCCCGCGTGTCGCGCTCCTGATTTGCCTTCATGCGTGGCCGGAGCGAAACGGGGACCCCTTACGATTCATTTGTGTCAAACTTGGTTCTGCTTTGCAAACAGTGACAAGTTTGACTTGTTCTGAAAAGGTGCCTCGTGACACGAGACTTGGCGGCCTCTGAAACAGAAATATTGTGCAACGGGATCCAGCCCACCGCTTGACGATTTAACAAAAGCCAATCTTGCGGTCGCAAAATATTACATACTGTAACAAAGGTCAAAATGTTTTGTCTCAACTATAAAGTGGTACTAAGTACATTTGTTGTTCTGTTTTGAGTCCTTTGCAGCTGAAGACGGAGTTCTTGCCTCTGCTCAGCGTTTGCTTTGTGTCTGAGAACAGCCTCGTGGCCGCCGTAAGCTTCCGCACACTCATCCACACTTACCGTCTGAAAGCGTGTTTTTTAAGTTTTTTTTTTTTTTATATAAAGTACATCTTTGCACGTCTCCAGGGCCACGACTGCTGCCCCATGCTGTTCCGCTGCGACGACGGTGGCACGCTGACCTTCATGTCCAAGCTGGACCTGCCCAAGCAGAGCATCCAGAGGAACATCTCGGCCATGGAGCGCTTCCGCAACATGGACAAGAGGGCCACCACCGAGGACCGCAACACTGCGCTGGAAACGCTGCACCAGAACAGCATCACGTAAGTCACTCCCAAAAACTCAAGCGCTGGGGGGGTGGGGCAGCAGCGACACATACAACAATGCGCAGCAGTATTCTCTGGTCCGTTGGAAGGAAGGTGAACTATTTATCGGCAGACAATGCTTCGGTTGATTTTCATGAATATGTCCCATTTTAAAACTGGAAAAGAAACAAAACGGAATGGTCTCCGTCCTCCCAGCCAAGTGTCTATCTACGAGGGAGACAAAAGGGACTGTCGCAAGTTCTGCACCACCGGCATTGATGGCGCCATGACAATTTGGGACTTCAAGGTACCCGCAGACACGACTCACAAAATGTTCGGGATGTTGGGCATGTGGCTGGAATTTTTTCGTACATTTTACAGGTGAACTTCATTTGATCCTCTGTAATCTTTTGAAGGCCAGCTGTTGACTATTTCTCTTATCTACCTTTTTTTTGGGTACAAATTGCTGCTCTCCCAACAAAGAGCCTAATGACAAAATTCATAACCAACCGGCGTGAGCTCCATCAGTGGACCACGAAATGTGCTGGTTTAATTCGAATTAGTTTATGAACAGTCTTCTTAATCATGCTGTTGATGGAGATCAAGACGAGGGCTAACAATCGATCAACAGGATGAGGCATCTCGTAGCTTTGACCAGCCCCTGGGCTTAGTTGTAACTGAGGGACTGGAAGAATCACAGAAAGTCATAGAGGAGACCTCTGTCAATAAAAGTTGTACCTACGGGATTCCAGACTGCCCCGAAATGGCGGCGTTATGCCCCCAATATTTGACACAGTGCAATTTAATTTTTCGTCTTGTCGTAAATATTTGCATTGCAATTCGATTGATGAATTTCAGGTGAGGGGCCACTGTGCTCCGACTTAAGTTACTCTTGTTTGTTTGGTTGAAGATACTGTCGTGCTCAGTTTGAACATTTAATTCCTTTCAACGCCCACTGGAGGGAGTAACACACGAAAGTGAAAGTGAGCCGTGTGAATGGAAACACTTTGCACAGCGCACGCTGATTTTTCACTGCTGTCTGTGCTTTATTTCCCCTCCTCAGAGTCTAGAAGCTTCTATCCAGGGTCTCTGCATCATGTGAAGAAATGTTGTGAATGGAGCGGAGGCAAAATGGAGACGCTGCGTACTCACCAACACTTGCCCTTTGCTCCCCCATTGCAACACACGCGCACGCACACACACACACACACACACACACACACACACACACACACACACACACATTGAACTGACGTGTGACATCACTGTTGATTTTCTCGAGTTGCTGTTTGTTTTTAAATGAAGCCAGAAAGGAGGTTCCGTATTATTAAAAAAAGTGTGACTTGTGTGTGTTTTTTTTCTTCCCCCCTTTTTTTCATGTTCTCTAACCTCTTCCAAAGTACCAAAAGTTCAACACTAAGCTACGTTTTATCACAAAAAAATATAGGAATAAAAATCAGACTGAATATCACCACGGCTGAGCCTCCACGTGAATATATCAACGCGGCGTCGCGGTAACTGATGTTTTCTCTCACTCCCCGCGCCGTCGCAGCTCTGTAGTGGTGAGAAGCTCATGTATTATGGAGGATGTCTGTGTCATGTGAGTTTAAATAAATGCATTTACAGAACACCATGCACTTCGACTGCCGTCTTTCTCAACTTACGATGGATGACGTGGTTGTTCCTTCTCACTTGTCAAGTTTTCATTTTTCAGAAAGTGCTTCTTCGGTGCTAAATCTGTCAAGGTCTGCAAGCTGTAGTGGAAGAGGCAGAATTTAGGAGTCAAGTTTAAACAAGAACAACAAAGCTTGGTAGCACAGGAAGGATGTGGTAGAAATTCCCATGTAAAAATGTGCCAGATTGTTTTTGGAAAGCTGGAATATAATAAATCTTGAAGAAATGGGTAGAAATAAAGTGTCATTTGAATGCTGAAGATTCCCCCCACCAAAAAAAGCATTTTTTTTTAATCCCTCGATAAAATGGTGGAAGATCACCAGGATAGTTTATTTTTGCTGAATATTAAAAAAATATATATATATACAACCCGCCCTATATACTAGCACCTGGGGATGGATTCACGTTTGTGGATGTATATATTTTTTCCGTTTAATATATTATGGGGCTGTGTGTGTGTGCATATATATATATATATATATATATATATACACATACACACATGGGCGTGTATATACACAAAGATAGGTATGCAATTTTAAAGGTGAATAAGATTTAAATTGTATTACAGTACTCAATAACAGTCTGATAAAATATTGACAATTTTGCTCCCTCTACACTCGAGCATTCAAACCTTGATGACATCATTACAGTTTTATACTTAGAGGCAATTCATGAGTTAAATATTGTGACACGACTTTTTAAAAACTTTTTTTTCCTGTCTTTGCTGAGTTGTATTTTATTGAAGCAATCAAGGTGGAATATTACCAAATAGATAAAACTTTTACTGTAGATTTTTTTCAGGAAATAAAGTGGAATCTCATTTTTTTCTGATTAAAATAAATCTGAAGAATAAAGTTGTATCTCTTTGGAGGGGCGTAATATGAGAAAGTTAGATATTTGTAGTGAGAAAAATAAAAGTTTCATATTGCCTGAATAAATATTTTGAAGAAAGCCGTATTCCTTCCCGGAAACCCGTTTTTAATTTTATTCCAGGTTGACTCCAGGGTTTGTCCAAGTTGTGGTATCGGGATCTCGAGTGGTGTTCGGGCTCACTCTCGTGGCACTTGAAAGAATTCCCGCTCACCAATCACCGCCTCTGAACTTTCAAAGGCATCCCTCAGTCAGTCTGGGGGGGG